AAACTAAAGCATAAAGCATGTTTACGAAGCTGATTATGATTTCCTTTAGGAATAGTTCTGAAACTGAATGTTGAATATTTGACCCAGGGCTCAGCACTGGATACATCATAAGTATGACCAGCCATGTCTCATGACAATTAAGAAATTACTATAAATGCCTATCATACAGCCTATTAAAATTATAATACCAACTGTATAAAATGTCATGGATAAACCAAGCACCTCCTTTATACTAAAGAATCCAACTGTTCATTTAGAGGGGAACATTAAAAATGGATGTTTCATTGGCCACTGATCCGTTCCATGGCCCACCTGCTTATCTGAAATCTCTGCATTATTGAAGGCAGCGAGCTAGTGAAAAGGTGCCTGAACCAGGTGACAGAAGATTTGGGAAGTTCACTTTACTTCTGAGTCCCACATATCGTCCCTTTTCCATTCATTCTAACATTCTGTACAACTAAACTATTTTCTAAAATTAATATGCTAGCTATAATAAACATAAAGCAGCAAATTCAAAATAATTTCTTGTGCCACCTTAGAACTTGGAGGTTTAGGGTATGCTGGGTGGGCCTACTTTAGAAGGTTAAAGACGTTAATTTCTCTTTCTTTAGCCTAGCTACACATCTTGCTGCAAAAGGGCCTTCTAAATCATTTCCTCCATTATCAAAGTAGTCTGTTCACAGAGAATTTACTGGCGGTGTTGATGGTGTGGTTTCTCTTATTGAAAAGCATTTTAGTTTTCACGTAATCATCTACTTTTCCCTTTACTCTCCTCTAACTCCTTAAACAGTTCAAAGTGACCAAGATGGCGGCTTAGAGACAGATCTAAGCAAGGCACCACCAACACACTGAGGGGGGTTTCGATTGCTTTGTTACACACTTAGCCACAGACTTAGCTTGTTGATCTGCTAACAATGACCACTAGGTCATTAGTAAAATCTAATGAAAAGGAGTTATGAAACATCTCTCACAGAATCCTCAAAAAGACAATACCTTGAATGTAGCTTCCTTTACCCCTCAACAGGTCAGGTATAGGTGGCATGCAGGAGGCCTGTGTGCTAAGTAGGTGAGAGCCAAAAGGGAAAGATAAATAGTGATGTTTCCTACAGATAAAAAAAATAGTTGATTTCAGCAATTTTCACATGAGAAAGTTAAAACTGGTTTATTGACACTGAAATGTCATTTAAAATTTTATTTACTCATTTTTCATTGAGATATAATTGACACATAGCATTATATTAGTTTCAGATGCACTACATAATGATTTGATATCTTTTTATTGTGAAATGATCACTACAATAAGTCTAATTAACATCCATCACCACACTTAGATACATATTTTTAAAATATTATTTAACATTCATCACCTTTTTTTTTAGTGTTGATTTCACTTGCAAATTAAAAAAAATATTGAATTCAATTGAACGTAAAGAGATTTAAATTAAAAATTTACTCTAGGATCCTGAACATTATTAATTTAAATTCATTTATTTTTATAAATTAGCTCAACTATATTTTTCTTGCCTTCCCCTATTATGAAAATGAACAAATTTTATTAAAATGACAAATTTACTAAAACTGGAGAGAATCATAAGGTTCCCAAATGTTACCTTAGCCCTTCTCAAATGTTAGGTCTTCAATCTCTCCAATTTCTTCCTGCCTGAGAAATAAAATATTAAATTGGTGAAATTTCTCAAGATGTACAATTTTTAAATTATACATATTGTTAAATATATGGCAATAGAAATATAATTATATAATACTATTTTTTTAAATGCTAAAGAAACGAAAGTGAAATAGAACTAACAACAAACTTAGCAAGACCAGTACCAACAGCTCATCTATTACATGCTCTACCCAAAGGCAATGTTATGTAAATTCAGCTTATAGGCCTTGGAGAGCTCCTGCAATGTCGGCCTCTGAAAAGCTCTATACTGGTATTTTCAAGAAACTAGCAGCATACTTCACCTTGGAAAAGTAATACTATGAAGACACTGCCATTAGCGATTTTATGTACTTCTACATACCCTTCTTGAATTTGAAATAATGGATAAGTTCAGGTAATAATTTTTGTTCTCTTTCAAATTTTATGACTAAAATATTGAGTTGTGTTTTATGACCTACATTTATTATATTCTGTAGCGTCAGCCAGCAGCCTTAGGCAAAGAATACCTTTGGAGTCTGAAATCAGTAGGGAAAGAATCAGAGGTTTAAAATGAGTAATCATGTATGCCAGAAGCAGAGGAATTTTCCAAAGATTCTGAAAAACAACCAAATGCCGCATACTGTGTAATACATGAGCAATAATTTTCCAACCTTCTATACAATTTCTTTTTCTTTTGTGGCTAGGATAGTTATCTATTCACGTAGGGGCCAGGATTTTTGCTATAAAACTTAATTCCTTCCAGAGCAGTTTTTGGTAGTGTTTTCTGGAGGAAGAGTTTGTTTTGCGAATTGTATACAGACAACAGTAAGGAATTTTTAGTTATGAGGAATTCTGACGAGGTTGCAGGAATTATCCAGTCTCAATTTTTAAGAGTCACACCTTTTTCAAAGAGTGAAATTTAAAAAGTGGTAGATTCAATAATGAGTAAGGCTATATATGACAGAACAAAACACGGAAACTTCAGATCTTTTTCTTTTTAAATTAGGTTCTCATTCTTATGGATAAGATGTAATCTGTTAAAATAACTTTAAAAAGAATGAGACTCTGGCTTCAACAGCAGATAGAGATGGAAAGAGCAGGATTCTGTCCTGGATAATAATCCTGTTGAGCTCCTTTCTTTCTAGAAGGTCCTAGAGCTATCCCAATAACTTGATAAACTTCGCTTTCTTTATTAACCAGTGTATGAGCCTAATACTTAACCTGGCTGTGGTAAGTGAGTATATTTGTAAATGAAAGCATTTAAAACCATATAATACAAATTATCATTTATTAGGGAAAAGCACATGCCAGGCACACTTAAGTTTTCACGGTAGCATAAATGTCACAGGCTAGTGAGGCGATAAATTCGATTTATTTTATGGCTTTTAGTATCCTCTAACTTCAGAGTCCACCTAAAAAATTTCTATACCAAGGTCTGCCTTCCTGTAGTATTTGGGGCTAAACAAAGATCTTACCTTCATTTTGAGAAATCACTGGCCATTATTGATAGTGATGACTAAAATCTGGTTAGAATACCATAAAATTATGCAGTATATGATAAATTCTATGACACTACTGAGGCATTTGAGAAATGATTTACTTTTTTAGAATTAGGTCACGAGCAGAAACAAAATTATCGTTTATGCATAATCTCAATTTTTTTCCCCTCAAGTACATAAAAAGAACTAGTGCATTATGGATTTTCTTTGAAGAGGTTTGTAGTTGTTATGTTTGCTTTACTTGTTTTTACACAGGGAACTTTTGTTGGCCTTTAAAGTGTAATTTAGCAACGTAACTGATGTATTTTTGCCACCAGTAAAACAAATACATATGACAAAATAAATGCATACTCATTTCACTGTAAGATTTGTTTTTAAATTATTCTCTGTTCAGTCAGGGGGAAAATACGAGATCTTTCGTTTTCCTCTCTGCCAAAGGCAAGCTGATTTCCCCAACCCACGTGGAGAGTTGGGCGGTAAGTCTAGCGTGCTCGAGTCTCCCGGCTCGTGTGCTGCCATCTGTGGGCACACACGCATCCGCGCGAGTACACCGGCTGCGGCGAGACCCAGCAGGCGCGGCATCTCGGGCTCACTACGAAGATTGTGCTGACGAGGTAGCTATCCCGCGTGCCTGCCGCATCTGCCCAGCCGGTAGGGAAAGGAAGAATGAGTGCTCGGTAGAGTGTACAGTTGTTCCCACTCACTCTCTCCCACTTCATACACTATTCCTCTCCTCACGTGCGTGCCAAGGGCTGCATCACAAACGCACACACTCCCAAGTACACACGCACGTGCGCACCGTATGTCGCCCAGCCGCAAGTCCGGCCTCGTCCGGGGCGCACTCCGACCTCCCTGCCGCCGGTTCCGCCGCCTCTCGCCACCGCTCGCACTTCACGTGGGTGCACCCCCGCGCCGGGCGGCCGCGCCGCCCACGGAGCCCCTCGCCGGCCCCCGCGCTGGAGGGAAGGCGCGGCCCTGGGGTCGG